GTGGTGTGGCATCTAGAAGTGGGCTTCCTGGCTGCGCCGCCCCGGACCTAGCCTACTTTGTCCAGTTTCCCCTCTTTAGCTGTTGCCCTGGGGCTAAAATTACAGCCAGGGGGCCCCAGATCCCAGATTCCGACGCCCTGCATTCTGGAACCTGGGAGTGGTTGTGAAAGGGGGAGGCCAGTTGGAGAACAAACAGGTTGTCCAGAGGGTTGAGTGATTAGAGCCCATGTACCCTACCCAGGAATGGCTGGGAGGAGGAGGAAGAGGTAAGGAAGGGGGAGGGGGCGGGGTTTGTGTCACCTGTCACCTGCTCCGGCTGTGCCTAGGGCGGGCGGGGGACCGGTATAAAGCAGCAGGCGCCTGTACCACTCCACCTCACACGCAGCGCTCTCCCGAGTCTGTTCTGCCCCCTCCCCACCCAGTTCACCGCCACCATGACATCAGGCATCCAGTCCTTCTTCCTCCTGCTGCTGCTACTCTTAGTGCTTCCAGGTGAGGGGCAGAGGTGGGGAGTGGGTTGCCTGGCTTATGTGGTATTCCTTGCTTTTCTATGGGTTTTGCTTCCTGGCAGATGGTACCATGAAAGGTAAAAATTGCACACAGAGGTGACCCTGATTGTGTCAGAATGAAGGAGAGGCTAAGGACAGGCTGAGAAGAGATGAGCCCCCAAGAGAGTGGGTGCCAGGGGTGGGCAGATGTCCTGAAGACATCTTCCCTGGGGCAGGAGGGCTGACCCAGCCACTGCCTGACGCTGCCCAGACCTCCACCTGCCTAAGAGTACTTCTTTCGTTGTCAGAAGTTATATTTTCTCCTTGTTCCAATTTGTCTTCCAAACCAACCCTGTTACCTCAATTTCCTTTTTTTTTTTTTGAGACAGCACTTAGCATGATGTTTAGGGTCCAAGAGGTGCTTGATTAATGGAGGGTTCTTCATCTATCTTTTTTTTTGAGACAGAGTCTCACTTTGTCACCCTTGGTGGAGTGAGTGGTGTCATAGCGCACAGCAACCTCAAATTCTTGGGCTTAAGTGATTCTCTTGCCTCAGACTCCCTAGTAGCTGGGACTACAGGCACCTGCCACAATGCCCACCTATTTTTATACATGGCGGTCTCACTCTTGCTCAGGCTGGTCTCAAACTCCTGAGCTCGGGCAATCCACCCGCCTTAACCTCCCAAGTGCTAGGATTACAGGCGTGGCCACTGCACCTAGCCTGTTACCTCAATTTCTTAACAATTGTGACAACTCTTTAATCCTCAACAGTTCTTACAAGTTCTAGCCCCCAAACCACAACTGGCCAAGGCCATCCATCATCCAGCTTCACTGAGAGAAATACTGGGAGCATGGCCAGCACTTTACACTCCATCCACAGTTCTGGTTCAGGCTCAGGTTCTCCAGCCTCCGATGTCACGTCTGCCCTGGACACCAGACCAACCTCAGGCACCACCACCACTCCAGCACCTGATGTCACTTCAGCCTGGGACACCAGACCAGCCTCAGGCTCTACCACCACCCCAGTGCCTGATGTCACCTTGGCCCCGGACACTAGACCAGCCTCACGCTCTACCACCACTCTAGCACCTGATGTCACCCCAGGCCTGGAAACCAGACCAGCCTCAAGTGCCACCACCACTCCACCACCTGATGTCACCTCGGCCCTGGACACCAGACCAGCCTCAGGCTCAAATACCACACTAACACCTGATGTCACCTTGTCCCCAGACACCAGATCAGCCTCAGGCTCCACCACCACTCCAGTGCCTGATGTCACCTCGGCCCCAGACACCAGACCAGTCTTGGACTCAACCACCACCCTCACACCTGATGTCACCTTGGCCCCAGACACCAGAGCAGCCTCTGGCTCCACCACAACTCTACCACCTGATGTCACATTGGCCCCAGACACCAGACCAGCCTCAGGCTTCACCACGACTCTACCACCTGATGTCACCTTGGCCCCAGATACTAGACCAACCTTAGGCTCCACCACCACTCCACTGCCTGATGTCACCTCAGCCCCAGGCAGCAGACCAGTCTCAGGCTCAGCCACTACCCTCACACCTGATGTCACCTTGGCCCCAGACACCAGACCAGCCTTAGGCTCCACCACAACTCTACCACCTGATGCTACCTTGGTCCTGGACACCAGACCAGCCTCAGGCTCTACCACCACTCCAGTGCTTGATGTCACCTCAGCCCTGGATACCAGACCAGTTTCAGGCTCCACCACCACCCTAACACCTGATGTCACCTCAGCCCCGGACACCAGACCAGTCTTAAGCTCCACCAGTACTCTAGCACCTGATGTCACCTCTGGCCTGGAAACAAGACCAGCCTCAGACACCACTACCACTTCAGCACCTGATGTCACCTCCGGCCTGGAAACAAGACCAGCCTCAGATACCACCACCACTTCAGCACCTGATGTCACCTCCGGCCTGGAAACAAGACCAGCCTCAGATACCACCACCACTTCAGCACCTGATGTCACCTCAGCCCCAGACACCAGTCTAGCCTCAGACTCCACCACTACTCCAGCACCTGATGTCACACCAGCCCTGGAAACCAGACCACCCTCAGGCACCACCACCACTCCAGTGCCCAATGTCACTTCAGCCTCAGACACTAAACCAGCAGGCACCACCACCACTCCAGTGCCCAATGTCACTTCAGCCTCAGACACTAAACCAGCTTCAGACATCACCACCACTCCAGCCCCTGATGTCACTTCAGCCCCAACTAGGAGTTCTACATCAGGTTCAACTTCTACTCTGGTGCAGAGTGGCATCTCTGCCAAGGCTACCATAGCCCCAGATGCCAAGATTACCCCATCCTCAATTCCCAGCCACCACTCTGACATTCCCACCTCCTTGGCCAGCCACAGCCCCAGAACTATTGCCAGTAGCACAGTACCTTCTCCCACCTCCCTCAGGCACACCACTTCTTCCCAATTGTCTGTTAGGGTCTCTTTCTTCTTCCTGTCTTTTCACATTATAAACCTACAGTTTAATTCTTCCTTGGAAGATCCCAGCACCAACTACTACCAAGAGCTGCAGAGAAACATTTCTGAATTGGTGGGTATTTGCCTGTCCTTCTCCAGGCTTCCCTAAAGCAGACTCCAGAACTGCTCATCCCCTTTTCATCAAGCCTGAGTTATTTCCCTCCCACCTCAGTTTTTGCAGATTTACAAACAAGAGGATTTTCTGGGCATCTCTTCTATCGATTTCAGGTACTGTTCTGGGTGACTCTGTGTGTAGGGGGGTGACTTTAGGGAAAGGCTGGTGCACTCATGGTTGGGGAAAAGTGCTGAGCCAGAATCTGGGACCCATGGCTGAACTATTTCCCCCTATAACCAGGCCGGGATCTGTGGTGGTAGAATCAACTCTGGCCTTCAGGGGGAGTACTGTTAGTGTCCAAGATGTGGAAATGAAGCTTCTTCAGCATGAAGAGAAAGCATTCAGATATAACCTGAACATCACAAGAGTCAGTGGTGAGGCTACTTCTCTAGCTGCAGCCCTAGCACTACACTGGAGCACCTGTCCCTCCAGGGTCTGAGTCCTGCCCTTCCCTTTGTTGCTAGCAGGAGGAGGGTGCTTCACTTGTGAGACGGCCTTGACAACTATTTTTCCTTTTAGTGCATGATGCGCCAGTTCCTTCCTCTGCTCAGTCTGGGTCTGGGGTACCAGGCTGGGGCATTGCCCTGCTGGTGCTGGTCTGTGTTCTGGTCGCGTTGGCCATCGTGTATCTCATTGCCCTGGTGAGTGTTCAGTCTCTGACCAAAACAAGAGTCTCCCTATGGAAGGAACCCCAGCCCACCATGAGCCCTATGTTGGCAGGCTGTGTGTCACTGTCGTCGCAAGAATTATGGACAGCTGGACATCTTCCCAACCCGGGATGCCTACCACCCTATGAGCGAGTACCCCACCTACCACACCCATGGGCGCTATGTACCCCCTGCCAGTACCAGTCGAAGCCCCTACGAGGAGGTGAGGATGAGCTCCACAGGTCCAGGGGGCAGAGGTTTTGACTGGGCAGGGAGTCTGAAGGGGTACTTGGAAAACCTAAAGTGCTTAGGAGAGGTGAGAGGTAGCACAAGGTAAGGAGTGGAGGGTCTGACAAGGGGAAGGGTGGAGGTCAGAGAAATTCTGGGGGATAATACTAGGGAGGAGGCCACAGAAGGGGCCCTCAAAGGCTGAGTGTGGTGGCTTATGCCTGTAATTCTAGCATTCTGGGAGGCCGAGGTGGGTGGATTGCCTGAGCTCACAGGTTTGAGAGAGAGCCTGAGCCAGAGGGAGACTCCATCTCTAAAAATAGCTGGGCGTTGTGGCAGGTACCTGTAGTCCAGCTACTTGGGAGGCTGAGGCAAGAGAATTGCTTGAGCTCAAGAGTTTGAGGTTGCTGTGAGCTATGATGGCACAGCATTCTACTGAGGGCAACAAAGTGAGACTCTTTTAAAAAAAGGGAGGGCCCTCAAGAGGGAGTGCCCCCACTATTAGAATTCCCAAAAGTCCTTTGCCTGTCCACATTCACTGCTGGCTGGCTCTGGTTGAACTGGCACCACACAGTGCTTGCAAGCATGCCCAGCAGCAAAATGGGTGTGGCACTGTGCCCAGGAAACCCTTCCTGCAGGAGTCACAAGGAATGAGGACCCCTGCCCCATTCATCTCCTAACAATGGAAAGGAAACTGAGAAAGGCTTAGGGGGAGGAAGGGCATCTCCCCTGTGGAGGAAGAAGTGTCACCAGGCTTGGTGTGCCTGGGTGCCAGTGGGGTTCTTGGGAGACTCAAGGAAGCAGGCCCCTCCTTGGCATTTGTCTACAGGACCTAGTAAATAATTACTGCAGCCACCTGGGGCTGGAAATCTTCTCCAGGTGGGGGAGGAGAGAGGCATTTCTTTTTTTCTTTTTCTTGCCCCCATTTTCCTGATCCTGGAGACCTCCCTCTCCCAGTTTTAATACATCTCCTTGGCCCGGAGGAGTAGCAAATGGAGGGAGAAAGGGGTGGGAGGGGAGGGCAAGTAGACTGATTAGAGCCAAGAGGAGTGAAGGGTGAAGGGGGGTGGGGGGAGGGAGAGCAACCCTGTTTACAGTCATCTGGCTGCTGGTGGGGCTGCAGGTGTTCTCTCTGAACTAACTCTTTGAGAGCTGGCCTGTTCCCCTCGCCACTGCCTGGGTGCCATCCAGGGGCCCTAGTAGGTAGCTTTTGCCCTTTACCCTGCATTTGTTTTCCCTCCACTTAGGTTTCCTCGGGTAATGGTGGCAGCAGCCTCTCTTACATGAACCCAGCAGTGGCAGCCACTTCTGCCAACTTGTAGGGGCATGTCACATACTAAGCCAAGCAGCCAACCAGTGCCAGCCTGCCTCCTCAGGTTCTCCACAGCCAGTGCTTTTTGCCCCTCTGCTCTGCCCATGGCTTCCCCCAGAGGCCCCACTAAGTTCCCTAACCCCTCACAGCCTGGTGAAGTCCACACCTGCCCCAGGGGTATGCCTGGGGAGTGGTGCAGTTGTGGCTCAGGGGTAGAACAAGCCCAGAGATGGGTATAGGAACTTGAATATGGCTGAATAAAGTGTGGCCTCCCTCTGTGCCAATTTCTGATCTTTTATCTGTGATCCATGGGTGGGAGAGGCAACCAGAATATGTCTATGAGGGGGCCTAGCAGGGCCCTTTGGTGAAAAAGAGGGGAAGGAAAGGCGGCAAGGAGTGGGGTTCATTTGAGAAGCAGGAAATGTGGGGAAGAAGTGACATAAGGGTGCAGGGGTGGCCTGTGGAAGAATTCAGTCCCCTGTCCCCAAAACCTGGTGGCACAAGAGGAAGGAGGAAACGAAACCAGGAGGCCAGAGTGGTAGCGTGACTTGGTCCGCCTGCCCAGTGGCTTTGCCCCTGGCACAGTGCCCCAGGCAGCCCTATTCTTAGCTGCCGAGTGTGAAGTAAATCCTTGGGCCATGATAACAGCTGCAAAGTCAACAGGGTGGCGATAACGAGCTGGGTCAGATCCGGGCACTGGCATCAGGCCCAGTCCAGCTGCCCCACCCGCTCGTTGCCTCTGGGGGGCTTCCTAGCACCTTAGGAATGGGGAAATGGTTCTGGTTCCCTGACCCGTTGGGCCCAGGCATGGTGCCCGCCCTTCAACCACATTGCCATAGTCTGAGTGTCTGGCAGCTGGACCAGGGTGCCCCTAATTCATTGGCTCAGCAGCACCTGGCTTGGGGACCAGGTGCCCGGGGCCTGGTATAACCTGAGCAAGGAGGGGTGCCCTGGAGCCTCCTGCCCACCACACCACCACAGAAATTAAGAGGAATGGTCACATTCAAAGAAGGCAGAGATGTGCCTGGCATCACAGTTTATTGTTTAGAAACCATGAAAATAACAGCCACTGCTGGGCACAGGCTTAGCAGTGCCCCTCACAGAGCAGCAGCAGGGGCACTAGAGGCCTTGCCTGGCCCAACCCAATGGGGCACTCAGTCTCAGCTGGGTCCCCAAGGGAGACTTGGCACATTGGCATGGGTGCGGGATAGGTAAAGCATGCAAGGGAGAGAAGTGGGATATAAGGGGCATGCGGCTGGGGGGCATGAGAACCCAAATAAATAAGAGCAGAATCACAGGGTCCCCTCTCCTTCACTAGGGAGTACCTGGACAATGTCTAGCCAGAGAGCCTGCCTGCCTCAAGGCTGCAGTTCAGCATCAATGGGGCAGGGAGCTCAGCATGGCAAAGGGCAGAGCTGGGGATCATGCCCAGTGTTCCAAGTGCCTTCCCTCCCAATCAGCCTAGGAGTACAGGACAGGGATAGAGAAGGGCTCTCTTTGTGACTTGGGTAAGATGCCAAAGGCAGGGCATGGGGCAGAGATGGTGGGGCAGGGGCCTGGGCTAGCAGGCAGTGGGGAGAATGGGGCACAGCCAGAGTGGTGAGCAGAGGAGAGCCCCTTGGTCAAGAGAAAACCTTGGGAAGACATAGACATGGGATAAGAGGCAGGACCACATGGTGGGAAGAGTTTAAGGGTGACAACCTGGAGGATTAGGGGTTCAGGGCCCAGGAGAGCCTCAGGTCTGGAAGAGGGCCTGAAAAGGTCAGTCCAGCTTGGCGAAGCCCCCAATGGTGACCTTCCTCTCAGGCTTAGTGCCCACTGGCTCCTGTAGTTGTACTGCACCACCCCCAATGAAGCAGAAGGCAGGGCACACGGGCCCTGAGCAGTCCAACGGGCATTCTAAGAGGCCACGGAAGGATACAGCATCCAGGAAAGACACCCGGCCTCGCTCGTAGTCCAGGCAGATGCCTAGGCGGGGTGGCAGGGGCACTGTGCAGCTGGCTGCTGGGCCGTCCCTCCCTGTCAGCCCTGCATTTGAGCTTGCCCCAGACCCCAGCAGGATCTTGCCCATGCCGATGGTTAGGAAAGCGAAGGGTGGCAACGCCTCCACTGTGGCATCCTCAGCACCACTGTCGTGCCCACTGTCTGGATCATACCTGCAGGAGTGGGCATTGGGTAGAAGGAGTGAGGCAGTGAGGTACGAGGTGCAGCAGGAAGGTGCGGGAGGATGGGATGTGGAACAGAGGTTGGAGGGACTGATCTGGGTACAGAGGGAAACATGTCAAACAGACTGGGTCAGAGTGCAGGTTTGGGGGCTTGGTTTGGCAGGAAATGGGTACTGAAAGGAAAGCACAGTGGCAAGAGGTGTTGAGGGAACAAGGACAGATGAGGCATTGATAAAATCACTAAAAGGAGGCAGTGCCTATTGAGATGGGGGGTGTCAAGAAAAATGATGCTGAGGAAATTGTACTGGGTGAAGGCTGTGAGGGTAGAGGATGTTGGCAGGATCAGGGGTTAGTGACAAGACACCAGGAAAAAGGGGAAGGTGAGAAAAGAGGTTGGGAAGGTGGTGTCCTGTTGAGAGAGATGAGAGCAGATGGGTGTTGAGGGGAAGGGGATTAAATAGGGTGGTGGAGAGAGGGCGTTCTGGAGATTTTAGGATGTTGAGAAAAGATGTGGGTAAAGGGGGTCTTGAGAAGAAAAGTCTTTGTTGGGAAAGGATGATGGGGTATCAGTGAGAAAGGACATGAAGGCTAGGAGAGATGGTGTCTGTCCTGAGTCTGATGGATGGAAGGACGTAGAGATGGTTTCCTCTATCTTCTCTTTCCCTGACCATGCACTCCAAAAATCACTCCTCGAAAACCCATTTACTAAATCCATGTCTCCCTGGCCACAGGCCTCCTAGCCTGGCTTCCATGCTCCTATCTCCTCCTCACCCGCTCCACAGCCAGCCCACCCAAGCAAGTCTGTGTTCCCCTTGCCACGCCTTCCCAGGCCCAGGGCCCCCTCCCATTACAGAGGGACCTGACCTGGGGCTGATCACATCGGGGGCTCCCTGGAAGCTCTCCTGAAGTTTGCTCTCCAGCCCGACGCCCACTTTGACCAAGTAGGAGGCTGGGTCTACAGCGCAGGCCCAGTAGCTGCGGCCCTGGGTCACAGCCACATCACCCAGGACCACGTCCACGCTCAGGTGACAGCCAGTCAGCAGCCGGTCAGCAGCCAGCAGCAGGGGTAGCCCTGGAACACTCCGTACTGCTCGCTGGTCCTTGCTGATGGCCAGCCGCTCTCGGCTGGTGCCCCAACGGCCATCAAGAAAGAAGTGCAGGACTGGAAGGAGGGAAGGTGGGACAGAAGGAGGGCTTCAGGGACAAAAGTAGGCACTGGAGGCTGTGAGCTGTTAGCATAAGGCACTGGGAAACTTTTTTTTTTTTTTTTTTGAGACGGAGCCCCAAGCTATCCCCCTGGGTAGAGTGCCATGGCATCAC